GACTGGTCCCTACAGACAATATGCCTAAAGTATGAGAGATGATATCTGACCATCCTGGTTTACAAGGAGCACTATGGCTGTACTTCTTCCAACACACATCTGTCTGTTTGTTCTTTGGGCAGTTCATGTCACTTTCAATATTCTCCTCCCACACCCTAACTCAAATGCATCAATTCTTCTACAGTCTTCCTTTTACACTGTCCAACTCTTACATGTATATGAGATTACTGAAAATACCATGGCTTGGGTCAGGAGCACTTTAGTCCTCAAACTGGCATCTTTGCTCTTTTTAACACTTTAAAGAGTTCTTGTACAGAAGATTTTCCCAACGCAATACGTGGTCTGATTTTCTATACTCCTTAGTTGTTGTTAGGTTCCATCAAGTTAGTTCTGTCATATAGCCACCCTATAGACAGCAAAATGAAATACTGCCCTGTCCTACACTATGCTCAAAATCTTTCCTATGTTTGGAACCATTGTTATAGGCACTGTGTCAATCCATCTCATTGACCATCTTCCTCCTACTCAGTATAATACTGTGTCTATTTTACACCAGAGGAAATGGAGATGTAGTGTAAGTGACTTGCTGCTGAAGGTTCAGAACTAGATTCTAAGCTAGGTTTGATGAAATAAATAATATTACGACCCATTCTCTACATGATGCTTCATCTTCAAATAGCATACATCCTTCTTTGGTTTGGGGAATCTAGTGTTTTGAGTGAGAATAACTATCTCTCTGTGTATCTGTGCTATATATTAAAAAGACAACAACAAATCAACCAAATCCTTTACTGCAGCGTTGACTCCATTCATGGAGATGCCCTATGTTACAGAGTGGTACTGTTCATCAGTTTTTCTTGACTGTAGTCTTTAAGGAAGCTGATCACCTGGTCTTTCTTTCACAGTGCTGCTCTAGGTTAGCAGTTGAGCACCCTTCATGGCCCTGGTCTATATTCAAGGGATAATATATTCTTGTATTATGCCTACTTTTATCAAATGTGCTTGTATAGCTCATATATCATATTGGGTAAAGTCACTTCACAATAGCTGCCGTCTAATATTTTTTATTCTCATGGGATTGCACCCAAAGTAAGCTGACAGAATGGGTCTGGGAGAAATGATGATATATCAAAAGTAGGTACATATTTAATTCCATTATCCACAATCACCACACTCATCATAAGTACAATGACAACATAATTTTATTTTTGTAGATGACACCATTTTTTAAAGACATGCTTTTTAAATAAAAGGAACCAATATCCAATTATATTACTTTTATTTTCAGTGTTGTTACTTTCAAGATTATGTTATGGTAGAATATTTGAAAATAAATATAAATTTGTAAAGACAAGATTTATTACATGATTTTATTGTTTTTCTATGATTTGTTTAAAGAGTATGATGCTATTTATAAGTAAAAAAGAAATTCAGTAGAAGAGCCAAGCTATTGTGCATATTTTAAATAACTGATGTTATCATTGAGGAAGAAAATAGTCTAAAATTATATCTGATGCACACTGTCACATCTTTTTCTCTGAAAAATAAAAGAACATTTTAATAATGTTAGCTTGTTTGGTGTAAAATTTCCAGATAGTTACTAAATTGCTTAATAAGGAATTAGATAGCCTTATGTTTACTGGTGTTGTTGGCATATAGAGCCAAGTTTATATTATCCTGAAATCCCATTAGTGTCTCTTATTAAGTTACTTGAGAACAACCTACGTTGTGTAAAATACTACATTATCTAGAAGGCTTTTCTAAAGAAGTACTAGTACTGTTAAATTTATGGTTGTTTTTTTTTATAAACTTTTGTAATCTTCAGAAACAGTATTCATTTTCATAGGAAGATGGAACGTGATAGACTCATAGGCAGCAGGAAGACGATTTCTAGTAGCTTCTCATTTTAATTTGCATTTAATGTCAAATTATATTCTTTTGTTATTCTTTATTTATTGTTACAATTTCCAGCCTGACCTTTCACCCTGTCCTAGCTCACAACAACCAAATCCATTACACTGGTAATCAAGGATAAGTTAAAACATAAAACATATGAAAATTTTAATTTCTATGTTATGTAATTTTTTATCAATTGAAACTTTATTTAATTCTGATATAATATATATTTTTGTTACTTTGATGTGCAGTTGATTTGGTTAGTACTCATAGTGACCCTGTATGGGATTTTTGTAGAGTAGCTCATAGGTTTGAATCACCAGCCTTGTGGCTAACAGCCTATCCTACAGTGCTTAAACTGCAGTGCCACACCCAGACCCCATAATACAGATACACTGACATGATCATAATTTATAGCCTTCAAAGTGAAATAAATTTTAAGGCACTGCATGTATATGCTGTTAAGTGCCATTGAGTTGTTCTAATTCATGGAAACACTACATGGAATTTCAGTAGAGTAACTAGTGAGTTGGGTCCGCCAACCTTGAGGTTAGCTGTCCAGTGTTTATCCTGAAGCGCCACACCGGGAGTATATTTAATGTCTATAAATATATATATATATATATTTCTGGTAACGTAGTGGTGATGAGTCCGGCCTCTAACCTAAAGGTCAAACTAACAGCCCTTCTGTGGGAAAAAGATGACGCTTTCTGCTCCTTTCTGCCTCGGAAACCCTACGTAGGGGTCGCTATGAGTCAGAATCGACTCCACAACACACTACCACCACCACCACCACCATATGTATAATAAATATATTAAGTAAAATATAATATTATAAATTGTCAGAGCTTACACCAAGCTTATGATGTAGGCAGAAATATTTCTCAAAAATGTGTTTTGTTTTGTTTTCAATCCCTAATAGTCCATGGAGTCCTGGTGTGGCGCTGTGGGCTAATGAGTCAGACTGCAAAGTCATTTGAACTGCAAGGTGGGTGGTTCAAGCTCACCAGTGGCTCCTTGGAAACCCTATACAGGGTCGCTATGGGTCCACATCGACTTGATGGCACTTATCAACAATCAACAATAGTCCATAATTATCATTTATTTGAAAGAGAGCTATAGGCATCAACTTGATTTTTTTCATAATCACTTAGGTAAGAACTCGTCGCTATTTATATTTTTTCAATTTAATATACGCCATGACACCCTCGGAAACCCTGTACAGGGTCGCTATGGGTCGGACCCGACTCGATGGCACTTAACAACAACAACAACAACAATGACACACAATACATATTTTTTTGATAAATACCTACCAAAACTCTGAATAATCAGAATGTCTCATGGTTCCCTTAAGCTATTAGTCTTGGCCTAGAGAGAAAAGGACATTTATAAGAAGCTCTTACCAAATCAATATTAAAAATATTTTTATTAATTGGTTTGAAATCAATAATTATTTGCTTCCTTGTTATTATTATTGTTAAGTGCCGTCAAGTTGGTTCCAACTCATATCGACCCTTTATAGAGTTTTTGAGGTACCGCTGGTGAATTTGAACTGCTGATCCTGCAGTCCAGTGCATTATCCCACAATGCCACACCTTATTTATGATCAAATTCGTATATTCTACTATATAATTTATTCTTTATTTGATGACTGTTGTTTTATAAGGGCCATTGAGTTATTTCTGACTCATAGTGACCCTGTATAGGGTTTCTGAAGCACTGCTTATGAGTTTGAACTGTAGACTTTGAGGTTCAAACCAACCTTGTAGTCCAATGCTTATCCTATATTGCCACATCAAGACTGTTGTTGTTGATGTTAAGGGCCATCAAGTTGATTCCGACCCTTAGTGACCCTATATAAATTTTCCAAAGCAAAGGCTGGTGAGCTTGAACCACCGACCTGGCAGTTCAAACCAATTTTGCAGTCTACCGCATTAACCCACAGTGCCACAATTAAGCACTAACTTTATCTTTTTCTTTAGAGAACTATTTCTCACATAAATTGACTTTGGTTACACTACCTTTTGTTCCATGAACTCTGGGGCAATAGTTTGATCTATAGCAGAAGCCAAAAAATTGGTTGTGCTGGGTTTTGGTGAAGCTGAAGGCATGACAATTCCTGCACTGGCATGCTTAGAGTTTGTCTTTTCTCTTTGTAAATATGATATCACTCTTCCTGCTGGCTATAGAGGAGAATGAACACAGAAAAAAAGTTACAGGTCTAGGTGCAAGGTAGAATTTTCTGAGAATAAAAAACAACAGAGTTGAGAAGAAAGACAAACATTTCATTTAAGAAGTAAGTGCTTTTACTAGTTTTCTATATCATATGCTATTGTTTAGTAAAACTATGAATGAACACCAAAAACAAGGTTCTAATAATACCTGTTTTTAATCAAGGGTGCCTAGATGAATATATGGTGTATCATAATTCCTCAATAAATAATTTGGAGGACTAAGTGAATTATATTTCAACTGGAAAAATGTAAAGAAATAGTCATTGTTGGTAGACTCATAATAACATTTGCTTTAAAATGAACAATAATGCTGGACCCTGTACATTCTCAGTTGTTGATTTCTGGAACTATTCCTGGTGCTGTTTGGAATTAGCAGACTGTTCAATGAAATCTTACCATAGCAGAAGTTTCAGGAGCTGTATCTATGAAAGGATCAAAAGCTAGTTGTTGCTGTCTTCCTCCTGTTGTAACCTAAAAATCAGAGAATTAAAAACAGTATAAATTATTAAAATATAAAAATATGTTGCTTTACCTCCAAGGAAGTTAAACATTGTTCAACGTCTACAGTGATTTCATAAAAAATGAAATAATTTAGATTTTAGAAAGAAAAAAAGCAGTTCCTGATATCAGGAAACTGACAGAACTCAACAACTCTACTTAAGTCATTGTTCTTAGCATCTGGCCTAGCATTCCCTACTAGGCCATGGTGTGCCCTACGATAAACAATCCTACAGAACTCTTAACATCAGACAAGTTTATCTTTGAGCATGATTAAGTGAGACAAAAAGCAAGACCCTTCACAGTCTTGTTTAAAGCAAGTCACAGTGCAAGCCACAATACACCAAATAGCTTCATAGTCTGGCTACAAGTGGCTGTTGATCTTTACTAATAACAGTTTTTGTCTTGCACCATTATTCTTCTATGTAAGAATTGTTAAGATGCTCAATCCTAAAACTAACTCCACTTTGTATTGGGGAACACCCAATACAAAGCAAACCAACACTTTTTAAAACTCTTCTCAAATACTATAAGTTATTACCTTTCTATTAAGAATACCACCATTGCTGTGAGTTCAATTCTGACTCAAATCAAACCTTTAGGATGGAATAGAACTGCTTTCTAAGGTTTCTAAGGCTATAAAACTTTACAGAAGAAGACTGACTCATCTTTCTCTCCCAGGACATCTGGTGGATTCAAATTGCCTACCTTTCAATTTATCAGCCCCAAACTGGTAAACAATGATTACAGCTTTGCTTTACAGTTCACCATAATATGTATTCTTCTCATTACAATGAGTGGATAATTCTAAATATATTCAACTAGAGTTGTGATCAGGGTGGTCTTTGGCTACAGGTCATTGGCAAATTTAATTATTATAATGAAAGTAATTTTAACATTATGTTTTGAAAAATGAAAAGTATGCATTTACTTACAGGTTCTACTTGCTGTGGAATATATTCAAATTGAGTATAAAATGGTACCTGTTAAATTTTTGAAAAATGCATTAGATGATCTTTGACATAGTTTTTGAGAAATTATTATTACAATCATGGACCTTTCTATATTCTACTAAACTTTCCTCTTAAAGTTTAAACATTCCAGATGGTATAGTTAATTATTGTTAAATTATCTAAAATCTTCTAAACACTATACACTTTCTTGGTAAATAGTCTTTCTCTGCCTTTAAATTAATTGCCACAACTTTAAGTTGAATTATTGCTATGAATCATTTGACATAATTTTCTGTAATTTGGGTTGGCAGGTTTTGGAGTAGTAGTTAAAATATAAATATCTTTTTAAAAAATAATAGTTGAACTAAAAATTCATATTGCTGTTGTCAACAGCCTTTGAGGCAGTTCAGACTCATATAGACCTTGTATAGAGTTCCTGAGTAGCAGCTGGTGGGTTTAAACCATTGACCTTGCAGTTAGCAGTTCAGTGCTTATCCTACATACCATACCATGATTCTCAAATTTACATCAGTTTTATAAAAATCCACTAGAAATACATAAATCCCAATATATTATCTATGTTTCAGAATCTAGTGATCACAAGCACCTTTCATCATGGTATCTTGTCTTTATCATATATATAAACAATATATGACAAGAGGAATGCTAGTAGATTTTTAAAGTGAGTGAACTTTTTTCAGCTTTTGGTTTCTGATTTTATAGAAGACTGTTCACTGATTTTATTTCCTTTAAAAGCCATGTATGGAGCATTACCACATTAGTTGTACAAATGCTATGTCAGAAGAAAGTATGTCTTCTTGTGGTCATCAGTTGAGTTTTTGCACTAAATACACTCAGCTCTTTTCTTTTATGAAAAAGGAAATGCTGCCCTTTACTCTTGGATAACTGTCATTATTAGGTGTCTTTGACTCATTTCCGACCTGTAGGTATTCTATGTGTAACAGACTGAAACACCACTAGGTCCTGCACCATCCTCAAAATCGCTGCTATGCTTGAGCCCTTTGCTGCTGCCAAAGTGCCAATTGGGTAAATTAGTCATAAGAAAATCAGACATCAGACATTTAGTATACCTGCACTTCAAACTGCTGTGGTCCTGCTTGTTGAGGTAATTGTGTAGACGTGACTGCTTGTAGAGGTTGTTCCCAGGGTAGGTACACAAACACTGGATAATATTGAAACATCTATTTATAAAGAGAGAAGTATGAGGATGAGTTTTGGTTATATTAAAACTCCCATCCACGTCCAAGGCTGATGACAGCATTGAGTGTGCAAGTGAGATGATTTTGTAGAACAGATGAGTGATAGTGGTTTATGTGGCAACTCATTTGTAAATCAGCAATGGCTCTGTCTGTGAAATAATTCATGACAGACTTGGCTTTCAAATAGTTTTTGCGAGATGGGTACCAAAATAACTGACAGACGAGTATAAACAGATGTATTTGGGCATCTGCAAACAAAATTTGGATTGATACTTGAAGGAAGGTAAAAGTTTCTTTTAAAAAATAGTTACCAGTGATGAGATGTGAATTCATCACTATGAACCTGAAAGTAAGCAGCAGAGTGTAGAATGGAAACATCCTCAATTGCTGACCAAGAAAAAGTTCAAAAGGCAACCATCAGCTGGAAAATTGATGCTTACAGTTTTCTGGGATTCTCAAGGACCAGTATTGGAACACTCTCGGGGAAAAGGTTCAACAATCAACAGTGCTCCTTTCAGTGAGATGCTTGCTCACTAAAGAGCTAAAATATAAACTTCAGATTAAACCCAGAAGACTGCTGTCCAAGGGCATTGTGATGTTGTTGACAGTGTACATCTACACACCTCTGGCCACACTATTGACACTCTGTAAAAACTTTGTTTTGAAGTTTCTTCAGAGTGTCAATATAGTCCTCCTTATAGTCCTGATCTTGTTCCATTGGACTTTGACCAGTTTGATCCCCAACGCAGGCTTTGAGGATGAAGATTCATCTCTGATGAAGAAGTGAAAACCATGTACATTCATGGCTCACAGCTCAGCCTGAAACATTTTTTAGTAAAGGAATATGGAAACTTGTTGACAGATGAATAATGTATCAGAAAGCAAGGATATTATATAAAAAATGATTTATTTGTTTTTTTCTAAAACTTGATTAAAATAAATTCTACAGTCAGAGTGCAGATAATTTTTGATGTATCCTTGTATATAAGAGATGCCTTTAGGTAAACCAAGGCCATTTTTTAATCTTGTAATATCATATTTTTTGTTTTATTTTTATGATTAAATGTGAGCAAAAGAATGCATAAAAAAATCCTTCCTAAACTGTAGGACATAACTGTGTCCCACATGATACTGAACTGGGTTGTTTTTAAGCTTATTTGGTCAATCGTATTTAGTGAGATCAGTGAGGCCTTTATAGAAAGAATATTTCAGAGGCATTATACACAAATTACTCTGCAAAGATCTAAAAGGAGGATAGACTATGTACCATTTTCACTCTCTCACACTCTACCCCCCCCACTTTTTTTGAGACTCATCCATCTGTTGAACATGGTATTATAAATTCTACTACAGTGAATGGAGTGTTAAGAATATATTACCTTTAGTTATTACCATTTTGTTAAAATAATCTATTTGCCATTTAGAACATTTGGGATATTCAGAAATAGAGAAGGAACAAATTAAAACCAATTGCAATTTCATCATGCACATGTATAAATTTTAATTTACATGTCTTTGTGTGTGTGTCTGTATATGTTTGTGGGAAAACTTAGATCATAGCATGTCCATACAATTTTGTACACTTTTCTGCTTTTTGTTTTCATCATTAAGAGACAATATGAAATGATAGTTTAAAAACAAAACTATCATCAAGAAGGATTATGTTTTATGCATTTGTTCTTAATCTGAGGTAATAGTAAAAACTACACTGTAAGCATTTTAGAAGATAATCAGATTTAGAAGATAATCTATTGTTGTGTACAGTCAAATAGACTGACTCATAGACACACTATAGCATCTGGGTTTTGATTATAAGGTTTTGACTAATCCAGGTTTTGGCTCATTAGGCTCAGCATAGGATGTAGGCATTTGTAATTTTAAAAATGATGAAAACTAGGATGAAAAACCACTGATTTAGTCATTAAAGGAAGAGTGAGAATTATATTCCAGCTCAGCTACTTAATTTCATTAACAGTAGATATTTAGTCTCTTTAAGACACCATTTCCTGACTCTTAAAGTTAAGTAAGTCCATGTGTCATATTTTCAACTAGATAAATACTTATGACATAAAATGAGATAATGTCTAGAAGTAATTTTTGGTTTTAGTAGGTATGGGAAGGATAAAAATTGGGTAGTTAGGATTACAATAGAGACAAATGATGTAATTTTTTATCAGGAGGTCAATTCTTTTTGGAGTATAATACAATTCATTTCTATGCTTATTTTTTTGAACAAAGAATATTATAAAACCAAGGAATCTAATACCAGAAGAGTTTTCCTATTAATGTAATGGTTCGTTCCTCCCTGTGTTTCCTGTTCCCCTTCTTCCTTTTCCCTAGACCTTTTTGAATTTTGTCCTTGGACAAATGATGCCCCTTTGATAGAAATGATTGATTATTCTAAGATGTGCATACCTCTCTAGTGTTGCTGTTTCTCTTATAGACCTGTCTATTGTTTGGCTGAAAATTGAATCATAGGGGTGACTTTATTTTCAGACTTGAGGTTGACTATGGGGTTCCACTAGTCTCTATTGGACCTGGTCTTTTTCTATTTTGAGATGTGTCCCTCATTTTTCTCCCACTGTAAAATGATTTTCTAAAGTGATCATTTAGAAAGTAGTCTGATAATGTTGTTAATAAGTGTTGTTGAGACAGCTGTGACTCACAGCGACCATATATAGGGTTTCCAAGGAGAGGCTGGGAGGTTTGAACTGCTGTCATTGCAGTTGTAGTTCAGTGCTTATCCCACTGTGTCACACCAGGACTCTAGTCTTACTATAGGAGTCTGGTGTAGCAGTGTAGAATAAGCACTTGACTACTAACCACAAGGTCGGCTGTTAAAACCTACCAGTCGCTCCTAAGAAATCCTATACAGGATTCGATGGCACTGAACAACAGTAATAGGAGTTAGAGCTAGAAATACAAATGAAAGCATTCAGTAAAGACAGTGTGTAGCCATCTCACTACATGCTGTCTTTACTAAATGCTTTAGTTTTCTAGTCATTTACCTGTGCATGTTCTTGCGGCAATTTGAAGGAAAATACATAAGGCATCACCTGCAAAGCAAGGACACATTAAAAAGATTATATTTGACCATCAAAAGTCCCGAGTTTCTTTTCATACAAGAAGCTATAAATATTTATCATCAGTATTGCAAGACCTGATGACAACGAAAGATAATATACTATATGTTCTGTTTTTGGTACAAACTGCCTTTGTAGTTTTGATGAAATTTCCTAATTTTTCTTCTCCACATGCTTCAACACTTCTTATTTGCAGATGTGGTCCAAGAATAACTAATGTGAATGCTATTTTTCATATTGTTGTTGTTATTTGCTGTGGAGTCGGTTCCGACTCATAGCGACCCTGTACAGGGTTTCCGAGGCCGGAAATCTTTACTGGAGGAGAAAGCCTCATCTTTCTCCCGTGGAACAGCTGGTAGTTTCGAACTGCTGACCTTGCGATTCCCAGCCCGATTCGTAACCAGTACGCTACCATAGCTCCTTATTTTTCATACTGGTGTTGTTGTTGTTAAGTGCCGTCGAGCCGATTCCGACCCATAGCGACCCTGTACAGGGTTTCCGAGGCTGTAAATCTTTAAGGGAGCAGAACACCTCATTTTTCTCCCGTGGAACAGCTGGTAGTTTCGAACTACTGACCTTGCGGTTCACAGCCCGATTCGTAACCACTACGCTACCAGAGCTCCTTCGTAATAATAATAATAAAAAAGATAAGGAAATACTTATGGCACAGTGGTTAAGGATTTGGTTGCTAACTCCGATATGGACGTTTCCATAAAGACGTCTAGAGAAGAACTGCCCATGGGGGTTTCTAAGGCTGTCAATGTTTATGGAAGCAGACTGACACATCTTTCTCCAATGGAGTGGCAGCTGGGTTTGAACTTCTAGCCAACCTCTTTGTCATTAACTAAGTGCTTTAAGCACTGTACAGCAAGGATTCCTTAGCTTAAAATGTATGCCATTGGAAACCTTGTGGGGTTCTTCTACTTGGTTCTATAGTGTCACCATGAGTTGGAATTAACTGGATGATAACATATTTAGAAACATATTGTTAGAAGGAAGTCTTGTTGAAAACTCCTTTTCTTAATTCAGATCTGTATTCATTTTTATATTCAATGTATCTTTATCTCTCTTCAGAATAACAACAACAAAAAATGGAAACCTCCCAATTTACCTGGTTAGGTCCCTGATGGTTCTGCGGTGGTGCTTGAGTCTGTAAGGGGTCGAACTGGCTCTGTTGAGGTCCTTGGCCTAAATTGGCATGTCCTGGAATGGGTATCTGATTTGGGAGCAGTCCAGAAAACGGATCGAGACTTGATAAAGAGAACTGGGAGAGTCCAGGAACTTGAACCTGCTGTTGCTCTTGCAGGATCCCAGAGAAAGGAGCAGTCAGTGAATTAAATGGGCCCTGGAAGGACACAAAAGAAAGAAAACGTTTCTCTTCATGCCAGAAATGATTTAAAAACCATCCTGAACACAAAATGAAACAGGTAAACAGTTTTTATATTCCTAGTAGTGCTGCATTATAGAAAGCAAAAACAAATTGACTTATTATGAGCCATGCAAACAAGAAAAGACACAGCTAAATCCCCAATAGTAATGAGGAATAGGAGTAGAATGAGATGGATAAAAAATGACAGGTTCTGAAGTTTCTAGACTGATTTAAAATATTGCTTTTTGTTTCCCATTGGTTAGCTGGACATGATTTTAGGTAAAATAGTTTATGGAAATATCTCACAGGATTGTTGTAAGAATTAGTGCCTGACATATACAAAGCCCTCAGTAAATAAGTGTTTATCAGATCCACAGAGTCCTGGTGTGTCGCTGCAGGACCATGCACTGGACTGCAAGATTGGCTTCAACTACAAGGTCAGCAGTTCAAACCCACCAGCTGCTCCACAAAAACCCTATGTAAGGTCACTATGAGTTGGGACCAACTCAACAGCACCTAACAACAACAACCATCAGATTCTAATTTTTACTTTAGTCTTTGAAGAAATGGTCATAAGAAAATAAGGGACAAATCCATTCTTTTAATAATCAAAAATTCATAAGTAGAATGAGAACATGTTCTTGTCAAATAAATCCTAATGCAAAATGAAAAGTAGAAAACATTTCCCTTTTAAAAAAAAATTATTGAGAGAAATTTACCTGAAACTGTAGAGGCAAAAGCCGAGCATTATTAAGATTCAGAAGTAACTAGAAAAGGAAAGATGATACGAAAGCAAGATTAGTATGCAGGCTAAAACTATTAAGAACCATGTTTACTACACATGTCATAACTGATTCATCAGTTTCCTGTTAGAAGTGAGACATGTTTCAGTAAGCTTACATAAAATTACAGTGATTAGAGGTTAGAGTTGAAAACAGTTTGGAATTTAACAACTTAATGCTGGGTATGAGATTGACTGACTTTAGTCTACTCTAGAAGTCCTAATGTGGCACTGTAGGATAAGCACAAGACCATAAGGTTGGTTTAAACCACAAGGTCGGCAGTTCAAACTCACCATCTGTTCCTCAGGAACCCTATACAGGGTCACCATTTGTCAGAAACAATTCAACAGCACTTAACAATAACAACTAACACGGATATGTGGAACAAAGGTGAGGCTTTCTGCTCTTGTAAAGATTCACAGCCTTGGAAACCCTATACAGGGTGACTATTGAGTCAGAACCCACTAGTTGTCACCTAACAACACCAACAATATAGACCTCTATATATCTGTTTTTGCTGCTATTAGAATGAAAAGATTTAAAATATTTTGTTTCTTCATTGAAGAATATAATCAGACAAGGGAGACAAAAATTATAAAAGTTAGCTAGAACAAAGCAAGTCAACACATTGACCCTGTGTTTGGACATGCCTAGAAGCTAGTGTGCAAGAATGCAAGATAGATCAACTGGAGTCTCTTCCCCGATAAGTTTCTAAAAATATATATATTGTTGTTGTTGTTAAGTGCCGTCGAGTCGGTTCCGACCCATAGCGACCCTGTACAGGATTTCCGAGGGTGTAAATCTTTATGAGAGTAGAAAGCCTCATCTTTCTCCTGCAGAGCGGCTGGTAGTTTCGAACCACTGACCTTAAGGTTCGCAGCCTGATTTGTAACCACTACGCTACCAGAGCTCTCTCTCTCTCTCTATATATATATATATATTTAAGTAGAGTTTGTTTTAAGTATTTCAACTAACCTCATTGCTGTTGCTTGCTGACACAAGGTGCTGTGGGATGAGCTAAAGAAAAAAAAAAGTAAAAAACAGGTTTGTTACATGTTTTACATGAACGCAGTCTTATTTTGAAATAACAAAATAACTTACTGGGGCTGATGCTATGACTCTCAGGAGTCCAAGAAGAATTATTATTTTCATTTTTAGATTAAATACCTAGAAAATAAGTTAATGTGTTAAGTAATTCTAAAAAGTCTACTAAAACAGCTCAACAAAATTATTTTCGATTATTCAAAAGACTAATTATATCAATTCTATAGTATTTACTTATATTTTAGAATTCAAAATGAAAAATAAATATTTTTAAATATCCAAAAGACTTATTTTTCCCAGAACAGTTGTTTACTAGAAACCAAATTGTTTGTCTTCAACTGAACCAAATGGATCATTGAGTAGCATGGTGTTGTGGAACAAGTTACATAAGAGGCACTTATTCCATGTTCTGTTCTACACTGACGTGAGTGGATCACTCAGGCCATGAGAGTCCCAAGATGAGGATCAATATATTGAACTGTTATTATGAAGTAGTAATTATTCGCAGTTTTCATGTAATGTCTAATTCAAAGACCTTAAGTTCTACCTTAAAGTTCTGAAAATACCAGTGCAATACCAAAATAATCTTTATTTAAAAGTCTAATAACATTAAAATATACTAAAGCTAAATGACTGAATTAGCATTTTTCTAATTTATAGAAATACATTTGAAAATTAAATTATTATATTTATTTATAGTATAAACTACACAAATATTTTATTGTCATCTTCCAGATATAAGAATTGTCACCCACTCCAAACCATTGACAGAAGCAAGTTTTTTGGGTGACCTTCAGAGTCTACCTTGCAGATCCCACTGATTTGGGTTACTAAAACCATGGAAGCAAAGATTTAATCTTACCTCACTTCTTGCCTAAGAAGAGTAATCTAGAACCAGGCAAGATTGGAGTTCTTTTTATTATTCAGCATTGCTTAAATTTAAAAACCTATCTTAGAAAGAAAGGACCAATCATTTTTCAAAGGCACTTGTGATTCAGTGGGTTTCAGATAATGGTTTAGTTAATAACCCCTTTCCTAATCACCTTGGTTGTATACAGATTCCCACATTTTTAGTAATGTTATTAAATTATCATCTGAGAAATGTTTTGCTGTGACTATTCCTCACTCTGCTTTGGTGATGACTAACTCTTCTAGAATAATTTTGTGCTACTCCATCTTTTATAGCCCTTAAAATGAATAACTTAACATGGTGTCTTTAAAAGCCTTTATTAAGTTGAAAGATAAAGGATGATTTTATTAAATTTCAACAGTAAAATACAGAATTTTCAGACATAAGGCATGGATCTAACAGACAACATTTCAAAATATAGTTAGGGGAAATTAAAGTTCAATTATCCAATATCATATTGAGTAAACATAAACTAATTTTATGTAGGTTTTACTCTGAAAATATTAATGAATCTCTCTCTACCTATGGAATTAAATCCTAAAAATATTAAATATCTATGTCTATGAAATGTATTCCCCATTTGATCATTTACATTATTTTTTGTTGTTGTCATTGTTTGTTGTTATTGTTAGGTGCCATTGAGATGACACTGACTCACTGTGACCCTATACACAATAGAAGGAAACATTGCCCAGTCCCACGCCAGTCTCACAATCATTGCTAAGCCTGAGCCCACTGCTTCTGCCACTTGGCTCATCCATCTCAGTGGGCATTTTCCTCTTTTTTTCTGACACTCTTGTTTGCAATTGTTAGGTGCTGTGAAGTCAGTTCTAACTCATAGTCACTCTATGTACAACAGAAAAAGACAAAAGCACTGCTTATTACTGCCCCATCCTCAGAATTATTGTTTGAGCCCATTATTGCTGCCACTGTGACAATCTATCTTATTGGGGGTCTTCCCATTGTTCATTGATTTGACCAAATAATCATTTACTAAACATGATATCATCTTTCAGTGACTGGTCCTTCCTGACAACGTATCCAAAGTATAAGAGACAAAGTTCTCATTGTCCATTGTAAGTACAGCCTTATTCCTTCCAAACCATAATTTTTGTTGACCCTCCAATTTACCAGTCATTATGTCCTTCCCCAGAGACTGATGTCTACTTACTGCTTGTTCAAAGAACTAAAGACAACAATCTCAAAATTCTCGCTTCTAAGGAGCATTCTGGCTGTACTTGTCCCAACACAGAGTTGTTTCTTAAACATTGGTATTTCCAATTCTTCACCCATACTATAATGCAAAGGCATTGATTCTTTTATGGTCTACCTTATTCATTATCCAGTTTTCACATGTATATGACACACTTGAAAGCACTATGACTTGGGTCAGACACACCATAGTACTCACAATGACATCTTTGCTCTTTAATACTTTAACAGAAGATTTGTCCAAAACAATATGCCATTTAATTTCTTGACTACTACTTCCAAGAGCATTGATTGTGGATCCAAATAAACTCAAGTCTTTAGTAACGTCTATCATTTATCTGTTAATCATTATGCTGTTTATTGTTCCAGTTATAAGAATTTTTGTTTTCTTTACACTGAGATGCAATCCACACTGGAGGCTGTAATTCAGATATACCTCAGAAACCATCTCAACTCTTCTTTGCTCTGAGCAAACAAAGTTAGGGCATTTGCATATCTCATGTTGTTAATAAGTCTTCCTCTAATCCTGATGCCACATTCTTCTTCATACAATCTAGTTTATCAGATTCTTTGCTAAGCATACAAACTGAACAAACGTGAACTGATACAATCCTGATGCACACCATTCCTGATTTGAAACCATTCTGTATCCCCTTGTTCTGGTTTAACAATTGCCTCTTGATCTCTGTACAGGTTCCTCATGAGCACACTTAAGTATTCTAGAATCCCATTCTTCATAATATCAACCATAGTTTGTTAGCATCCACACAGCTGAATGTCTTTGCATAGTCAATAAAGCACAAGTAAACATGCTTCTGGTATTCTTTGCTTTTAGCCAAGATCCATCTGCTATCATATTATTTAACTTTGTCTTCTTAAGCTGTCTTTTGAAAATTTCTATTCAGCTCTTTTATCATTTCTTCTAGCTGCTTTTAGCTTTGCACAAGAACAAGTTTCAGAGTCTTTTTGGCATTCATTTTGGTCTTTTCTTTCTTTCCTGTCTTTTTATTGATCATTTGCTTCCTTATATATGATGTTCTTAATGTCATCCCACAGCATTTCTATTCTTTGGCCATTAGTGTTTTAATTTTGTTTAGCTTCAGCTTGACTTGCATATAAGCAATCAATGGTCTGCTCCACAGTCAGCCTCTGGCTTTGTTTTGACTTCTGTATCATCTCTTCCCACAGATGCAGTCAATTTGATTCCTGTATATCCCATTTGATTTCTATGCATTCTATTTGGTGAGGTCCACATATATCGTTGTTGTTTATGATACCAAAAATAGATATTTGCAATGAGTCATTAATATTGCAAAATTCTATCATGAGGTTTCCAGCATAATTTCTATCACCAAGACCATATTTCCCAACTACAGATTCTTCCTCTTCACTTTCAACTTTTAAATTCTTCCCCAGTTGTATTTTGAGTGCCTTCTAACATGAAGGGCTCATTTTCAAGCACTATATCCAACAATGTTCCTTTGCTATTCCAAAGGTTTACAATGGCTAACCTTTCAAATGGCACAGAACTGGGTGGTGTTTCATGCTGTTGTACATAGGACCACTCACTATGGGCTGGAAACGACACCTAACAAAAACAACAACAACCTTTCAGAAGTTGTTTACCTCCCTTTCTTCCTAGTTTCTATTAGTCTAGAAGCTCTGCTGAAGCCTGCCCATCATGGGTGACTGTTGTTGTTGTTGTTAGGTGCCATCGAGTCAGTACCTACTCATAGTGACCCTATGCATGACAGAACGAAACACTGTCCAGTCCTGGGCCAACATCACAATTGTTGTCATGCTTGAGCCCACTGATGCTGCCATTTTGCCAATCCATCTTGCTGGGGGTCTTCCTTTTTTTTCTCTGACTCTCGTCCTTACCAAACATGATATCCTTCTCCAGAGACTGGTCCTCCTGACAGTATGTCCAAAGTATGAGGGATGAAGTTTGGGTGACCCTGCTAGTATTTAAAATATTGGTGGCAAAACTTTCAGCATCAGAGCAGCACATAAGCTACCACAATGCAACAAACTGAGAGATAAGTAAATGTTTTGCATTTTAGAATTTCTACTTTGCTAAGTATAATCTTAACAATAAAGGAAACTAACTGTTACTATCTTTGTTGTTGTTGCTAAGTGCTGTGGAATCAGTTTTGATTCATAGTGACCCTGTATAGGATTTCTAAGGAGCTATTGGTGAATTTGAACCACAGATTTTGTGGTTCAAACTACCTTGCTGTCCAGTGCTTATCCTACAGCACCATACCAGTACTCCTTACTATCTTTAAGTTATTAATATCTGAATTGTTTTAAAAGGAAACTTTCCCTCCTCTTGTTTGTTGTTGTTGTTAAGTGCCATTGAGTCAGTTCCAACCCATATCGACCCTGTATAGGGTTTCCGAGGAGCAGCTGGTGAACTTGAACCACCTACCTTGCAGTTCAAACGGCTTTGCAGTCTGGCACATTTACCCACAGCACCACACCGGGATGCTGATATTGTTGATGTTATGTACCGTGGAGTCAGTTCTGACTCATAGGGACCCTGTACAGGGTTTCCGAGACTGTAAATCTTTACAGGAGCAGAAAGCCTCACCTTTCTCCCACGGAAGAGCTGGTAGTTTCAAACTGCTGACTGTGAGATTAGCAGCCCGATTTGTAACCACTATATTACCAGAGCTGCTTTGTTATTGTTGTTGTTGTTGTTGTTGTTATGTGCCATCGAGTCGGTTCCGACCCATAGCGACCCTGTATAGGGTTTCCGAGTGCTGTTAAGTAGATCGTGACTCAGCTCTACTTTGTACAACAAAATGAAACGCTGTTCGGTCCTGTGCCATCTTCACAATTGTTATTACACATGAATCCATCGCTACTGCTAGTTTGCCAATCCATTTTGTTGGGGGTCTTCCTCTTTCTCACTGACCCTCGACTTTACTGCACCAGATGTCCTTCTCCAGGGACTGATCCCTTCTTATAGCATGTCTGAAGT